CCCATATCTGAAGTTGTTCTTTTCTGATCCTGTGTATCAGGGTTAATATCATTTAACTGTAATGTTCTCACGCATGTGTTGGCTTGAATGTGCTCCTACATTTGAATAAATAATGTGGTGACGTGTAGAGTGTCACCTCTACAGGTGAGTTACGCTTCCAGAGAAAAACTGCATGCCACTTCAGCTCTTGATTGTCCTGTGGCAAATAGTTGTGACAGCAAGGCAGCATAAAAACAATAAGAACATAGTAAAACAAGACATTAAAAAGTGTGAGAGTTATACTGAGCCCAAAAGCCCAAAAAATATTTGAAAAAAAATCAGGGGTAGGTAGTAGCCATGAGTTAAAAAAAAGTCTATTTTTTAAGGAATGAGTACTTTTCATGTTCCTTTTTAAAATTAAAATTTGTTTTTTTGTCAATCCATGGGACTGGTCCAAAAACGCACATTAAACTTGACTAAACTTTTCAAACACAAGTACACAAATAGACTTGACTATAACTCGCAGCATTCACAAAGCACTTGTCTTTTGCTGGACACATTTTGACACATTTTCCTTACAAATACAACATGCTAATATTTTTTTATTTTAAGCCAAGTGTAATTTTAGTGCAAGCCTTTTTAGCCAGTAGCCATTTTACATTGTATAAATTAGCCTAGTGGCTAGCAGACTTTTCCTCTGCTCATATGAAACCAGGGACAACAGCAACAATTAACAAAGATAATGTTACAAAATTTGGTTCCATTACAACTCACAAGGTTCACTGACAAAACAACTGTCTTATGCTAAACACATTTTTCAAATAGATATAACATGCTATATATATATAGATATAGATATATAGATATAGATATAACGTTATTAGCACAAGCCTGTGGCATTTTACATTGTATAAAGCAGCCTAGCAATGAGCGGTGATTTTCTCTTCTCGTATGAAATCAGAATAAATCACACACACAAGAATTAAAATGCTATTTTTGTGGAGGTTTTATTGTCTTCACAATTTATTGTTTCTTATCTGTGAAATGAAATAAAAGCTTTGTTTCCACTGAGGGAAATGGTTTCAGCTTACAGAAACAGACATGAGGTCTGGGGAGGTGCACATCAGGCTATGGCGTAGAGTATGGCATCGATTTATTGCAGAAGTATAAATCCCGCTTTAATCAGCACCAAAAGGGTTTTGTTGTTCGACACCCAGTCCTAGTTTTGGGCGTTTTGCTACACAACACTGCACCCATTTAAAAGTGGTCTCGCCCATCCAAAATTTGGACAACACCAGGCAATGTAAAACCAGAGTTTTACCCACAAACTAAGCCATTCTAAGTTTTTTAATTAATATTACTCTTTGTGTTACTCACAGACTTCCAGATTTGTAGCCAAAAAAACGAATTCGTGCCAAGTTTCCTTTTGTTCCCTACAAGGCTGGTATGAGGATTCTTGTGGCCACCTTCCACTGCTCTTCCCTCAAAATCATGAAGTCCATCTGCTATGTCATTGTCGAGCCATAGACTCTCAGTATTGCTGAGCAAGAGTCACATTCGGGAGCTCAGAAAAAAGGCAGATTTATAACTCTCTCTGAGGAAGAGTACTTCATTCAGTGATTTCTAAAGGACAGCATTAGCATGCTGGTTTTAATCAAATGTGGGTACAGGGGATAGACTGTATAAAAGAAGCGACGTGGCCACCATGACGCATCTGTTTGTGGACTACAAAGCCTCGAGTCTTTTGGCTGTTGCCATCTTGTTTTTTTCAAGCCAGAGGTGACTGTATTTGGACAACAGGGTGGAGCTGTCAAACACATTGTTGATGCATTGCTGCGCCTCCATCCTGATTGACAGATCGGCATGGCAGCGTCTTGTCAATCACAAGGTAGCCATGTCCCAAAGCGTACCCTACTTTATAATTTATATTACTCTAATTAGAACCATAGAAGACGACTTGCAACTACCGTTTAGGACCATTAACTAATTTGGAAAAATGTTTATTGGGTCAATAAATCAATTAAGAAGTAGGGTCATTTTCTCATAGACTTACAATCTGACTTCTTTTTGCAACCAGTGGAGTCGCAGGTTTAAGTCACTTGCTCATTGGCTTCACTTTTCTGATCCAGAGGTCATGTCCACTTCTTTCATACAGTCTCTGGTGCAGGGTTTAAAAACAGCCGACTATACAACTAACAGCTGTGGATTTTTATCAAAACAAAACATGGTCTATTTTCCGCTGTTGTTACTCCCACTACTCCTCATGTGGGGTTTAATATTTGGGTAAAATGAGTGTTGTGGAAAGAAGCCATTGCCTTTAAAGTCATGAGTTGGACCATTACTTAAAATGACACACATAATTGTTTTCTCAGTTTTTAAGTAGGCTGACCAAACGTCCTCTTTTGCCCGGACATGTCCACTTTTCACGTCCTGTCCGGGACGTCCGGGGGGGTTTTATAAATTGATGATAATGTCCGGTTTTCCTACGTGTTTGAGACGGGAGCGGACGGCGGGAGGTCCGAGGCTTCCAGCAAGGGGAGAGGTAGAAACAAACAGCAAATGTGTGTGTGTGTGTTCTGTTCAGGTGTTGTCACGTAAATAACAGTCCCCAAGCAATAAACAGGACAGACAATAGGATTTTATTTATTTTTACACACATTTTCACTGAAAGCTGACCGAATCCGACCCGAGCCCGAATACAATTACAACAGGGGAATTTCTTTGATAAGCTTTTAGTGGCTTCTAACCTCTCTGGCACTTTTCTTTTTTTAATTTTGTACATTTTATACTGTCTGCTTTTAACATTATGTGCAAATAAACTAATCTAAACTAAAACTAAACATTATTCATCCCATTATGCGTTGCCACGCATGTTTCCTCCTCCTGCAGCTGCCACGGTGTTGGCCTTTTCTGTAATGTTGCTTTTCTCCTCCTCATATTTTAGTAGAATTAATCTCTGATCCTCACGAGAAATACTTTTTTTTTCTCCTCACATACAGCGCTCTGTGAGGACGCTCGGTGACGTTTAGTGACGCTCAGTGACGCTGCGCTTCTCTCATGATTGTGATTAGTCCGCTGTGTGCGCGTTCACGGCTCTTGATAAAGCAACCCTGGGTTGAGTTACCGAGTTGATATCCAGCGTCGTGATACCGATTATCCTGATTGCCATCGTTAGGGTTAGTCAACCCAGAATAGGTCTGGATAACCCAGGAAAGGTTGATCTCGCTTCATGATACAGGCCCCTGGTCTGCATCAGTCGCCAGCCATCGCCTCAAGGTGCATGTCTGTTAGATTTATGTTTAACTTACAATATTTACAGCAGTATTCAACAAAATAGGACAGACTGTGAAACGGGACGCTGTGAATGGGTAACAAAAAACTATGAACCTTCTATAAAGGGTGACAGACATAACAAATGCATCTACATTTCCCAGGAGAAGTAGAGTGTTTAACAGTTCATCTTGACTGAGCCTCTTAACTTGCGCTCTGCTGCTGTTGTTTGACTCCATGGGAACTGTTCTTACCACTCTGTTTGGTCTCACTGGCTCAAAAAGCATAGGCAATTGATTTTTAATTTTGTTTGTGGTTGTCTGTATCTTATCAATTCTTAAACTCTATTGTATCAATATTTATCTGGTTTTAAGTACAGTGTTGTACTCAGTGCTCCTAGCAGATAACAGTTAATGTGAAACCACCAACAAGCTTGTTGAAAGATAGCTGCACCCTGCTGGCGAAAAAATGAAATACAATCTAGTTTTCTAGCAAATCTAGATGAATATTAAGTTTGATTGCAGTGTCATACCCGGCCTAATTTAGGAATCAACCAAAGCACAGTCATGTTGTTCAGTGTTTCATTTCCGCTGAATTCATCACCAAACAGTCAAGATTTTACACAGCTTTTATATTACTCCTCCTGAAGCCAGACAAAAATGTCAGTCTGGTTTTGGTTTATTTTTTCATTGCTTGTGGATCTGCTCTCATGTCCGTTGATATTGGATTAGGATTGTTTAATAGCTTGATAAAAATTTTAAGTGCCTTTTACATCTTGGTCCATGGACTAGCCTCCTGGGACTAGATGACGAGTTACGTGCTGATTTTTGTCACAGAGACCTTTCGCATATTCTGTTGCACTGCTCGGAAATGTATCTTAGTAGTGTGGATCACTGATAAAGCCCCCACTTTAAATCACTATTTCCATACGAGAACAAGTACCATCCACTCTGAAGCTTTCTCCACAGCCATAAAAGTTAAACCCTTTTTATTCTGCTGGACTGAGGCATTTTAACATGGGTGTCTATTAGGATTGACTCCCTTTTGGAGCCAGCCTCAAGTGGTCATTCGAGAAACAGCATTTTTGGCAATTCTGAGTTGGCTTAGTTTTTCAGCCCTGTAGATTGCGTCTAAGACCCGCTACATTTAGTTTTCCACAGTTTCTTTGGTTGTTCCACCATTCGGCATTTCTGCTGTGGGCAGCAGGGTTATGAGTTGCACCTACACTTATGAAGATAGTAAAATAATAACAGGGAGTCCTCGTAGTCTGGTAGACGGCACACTCTACTGCTTCCCACATTGTCAACAGCAGAGCACAGTCACAGCTTCACTCCTTCCGTTTCTACCTTTAACAGTAAAAGCCCCAGACATAGACACTGCATCACTGCCTATCAGAGAAAACTTAAATTCACTCTGGGCATTTGCTAAAAGGCAACTCAGCTAATCATCTAACAGTAACTGCAATGAATTTACATTGATAGTCCAGCAGCTGCTGCACTAGCGGGCAGAAAACATGCTACCATAGTTTTGGTCTTGCTTGCATATAAATGCTGAGGTGCCCAGTTTCATGTTAGATCATTTTATTAAAGACACAATCCTGAATTATTATAAGGAGTACTTAACAATTTCATGGCTATATATCATCAGTGATCAGCAGATGTTTGCTGTTTTGGACTAACGCCTAACTGACTCATTTCATGAGTCCAAGCTTAAACATTTGTTACCCAAACTGCTTATTTAGTTGTCTATGTAACACTTAATTCACACAAAGATATAGGTGCCCTTATAGTCCCACTTAACATCTTACAACCCAGAATATAATTTTAACACACAACCCAGCATGCAATACAGGTATAATGATGTTATGGATATTGACTAATGCAGAAAAATAAAACAAAAGGGTTTATCAGGCTTAGTTAAATAGTTATACTGTTCTCTATCACAGGAGGGTTCAGATATGTGTAGGGTACTACAAGCTGATAGTTTCTTGTTGTTATTTCTTCACTGAGGTTGGACAACTCTGCTTGAAATTCCTTCATCATCTGCTTAGGGGCAGGCTCATCAAATCGTTCATCAGGGTATGAACCCAAGGGAACCTGCCAATTACAAAGCAAAACAGTAAATCACAGTAACAGTTTTTTTTTGGTTTTGTCGGTACAATTATTTTTCAAGTGCTTTCAAAGTTTTGTTCATCATCACCAAACTTACCACATCTGTGTACTTGTTTGTAAGCGTCCACCCCATGGCTACAAATTTCACTGTCTCGCCAACATTTGGGAGGGTCTCCAAAATTGTCTTCATGCTTGACTGCCCCTTAGTGGTTGGTGGAGGTTTGCGCAGCAGGAGCGTGCCATTGGGGATCCAAGAGTAGTAGTCAAACTAAATTATGAAAGAAATTTCAGTAATTCTATTGGATGGATGCATAGAAATAGGTATACTATTAACTATTACATAAAACAGAATATAAAACTATGTACTCTGTGCAATCTTTCCTTTCATTTTTTTTCCCCCGTAACCATTTATCCTGTTGGGGGACATGGGGGGGGGGCGGAGCCTATCCCAGCTGACATTGGGCGAGAGGGGGTACACCCTGGACAGGTCACCAGACTATCACAGGGCTGACACATAAAGACAGACAACCATTCACACTCATATTCATAATTTAGAGTCACCAATTAACCTGCATATCTTTGGACTGTGGGAGGAAGCCTGAGTACCAGGAGAAAACCCACGCTGACACCGGATGAACATGCAAACTCCACACAGAAGGGCTCCCTTACCATGGAGTTCAAACCAGGAACCCTCTTGCTGTGAGGTGACAATGCTAACCGATCGATTTGACATGTTTGTTTTAACTTCAAGAAGTTTTCAGAACTTCTCATTACCTTACCTGTCCATTATTGACTGCAGCATGTTGACCTGTCACTGTGAAGATTATCATTGTGATGAACTTGATCACTTCCTCAACAGTGTGAAACTCTGATGGAAACCCTGTTGACAGCACAGTCATTATCAGTAAATATTGGTTGGCTTTCACTATCTGCATTGGTTAACATAATATATATACAGTGTGTGTATGTATGTATGTGTATATATATGTATGTATGTATGTATATGTATGTATG